CATCCCTCCTGTCTTGGGGCATCCTTTGCGGGTCACGTTTGCTCGTGGAAGGGGCAGTAAGCACAGGAAACGCAGCACCCCTTGCAGGTACTGTTGGGAGTTCTCGCTAACCTGCAGGCTCCGTTTCCACTGGGTCCTTGCAGAGTAAAAGTCAGAGGGTGTGGGTAGCTGCAGATCCAAACACCCTTTGACTTCCTTCAGTGTGGTTTCTAAAGGGTTAAACAAATGCCTTTGAGGCCAATGTGAGCTCTTAAAAGGACAACAGCCCGGCAGGGGGTCGGGGCTGGCGGGAGGCGGCGGGGCTGCTGTGGGAGCGCCCCGAGTCCCTCGAGGCCCCGGCCGCCCGCGGAGACGCGCCGAGTCCCCGGCCAGCCTCTCCCGGACACCTGGTCTCTTCTGGGGCGTTGGAACTCGCGGGGCGCACAGCTGAGTGCGGACCACGCGTCTCTGGCCTGCGCGTCCTCCGCCAGCACCCCTGGGGCGCGGGCTGTGTCCTCGCCGTGCCCCTCGCGAGGTGCCGCCAACTTCCAGGACAAGGCGGGCGGTGGGGCGCGGGGACTGCAGCGGAGCCGGCACCCCGGGGGGGCTGCGCACCCCCTAACCCCTCAGTGCCCTCTGTCCGCGGCCCGGTGATTAGCATCTCTGTGAAGTCCCGCAAACAATGCCCGCTGTGCGGGGAGATGAAAGCCCGGCCCCAGTGGCGGGGCGCGATTGAAGTCCCCAAAGGTGGCCCCGGAGAACCCGGGAAGCGGATGGGGCAAGAGAAGCCTGGCGAGGAGCGCCCGGGCCTGTGACTCTCTCCCTCCCAGCCGCCCCGCCACCCAGAACCCCGGCCTGAGCCGCTGCCCAGCGGGGCTATCGTGAACGCCAGGCCCCCGGCCCCGCTCGCCCCTGTCCAGGCCTCGGGTCCCGGCCCCCGACGGGACCTCCGGGCTGCCTCCTCCCCAGACCCGCCGAGGACTCCCTGGCCCGGTGGGTGCGCCCGGAGAGGCCTTCGTTGGGCGCGGACGCAAGATTTTTGAGGGCAAAGCTCTTGGCAGACCACCTCCTCACACACACACTGGTGGTACCCGAGCTCCCTAACCCCCTGCATCAGGGTTATTTGGAAAAGGAAGCAAGATCCCGGTCTCCACGCTCTCGGACGCCTGCGCCCCCAGCCCCAGGAGCCCACCCGGGCGTGGGGTGCGGGAAGGCCCGGGCTCCAGGCTCTGGCAGCTAGCACCAGGGGCCAGTCAGCGCGTCGATGTCCGAAGCGCAGGGCTCTCCGGCCGTGCCAGACACCCCTCTACCCACGATCCTACGAGGGCTGGCCTCGGGCCACCCAGCTGGGGATCCCTGAGCGCTGGAGTGGGAGGGGCGCGCAGGTGTGAAGAGTCATTTTCCCGGGCCTTGGGGCCTGAGGAGAGAAGTTTCCAATTCCCTGTGGGGAAAGGCCTGGAAAAAAAAAAAAAGAAAGAAAAGAAAGATAAAAACCACCTCTCCTTCACTCTCCCGCTTTGCGTTTGTTTTGTCACTGTCACTTTGAGAGCGGGAGAACAAAAGGCAAAACTTTCTCCCTAAGACTGTCCCGGGAGCAGGGTCCCGCAAAGTATTTCTTGGGTCGAAGCTTTCCTGAAGCCCTCGGCCAGCTTTCCACACGGCCAAGGAGGAGAATAATGAAACCCAAGACTTTTATTTTATAAACCACTTGATCTTTGCTTGGGAAACTCCATTAATTGAATGGGTTTGCCTTTTTTGCCAGTCCCCTTTATCATTATTTATGGGCTTTAAATTGTTTAAAGTTCCCTTGACGTTCAATTTACAAGTTTGGGGACTTTTTTTGTTCCGCCTTTTGTCCTGGAAAAAGACATCGTGTTGGAAGTGCTTTGAAAAGCCTAACATGAGAGGTTGGCAATGAAAAGAGAGCGGGTGAGATCTCTTTTAATTCCGTCCTGTTGGTGAATGGCTCTTTTACATAATTGCAGGAGCCATTTCAAAGCCAGCCAAGGGCTGACTTCACTTAGAACCACATGGAGTCTATTTTGGGCTTTCAAATTAAAAAAAAAAAAAAAAAAAAAGAAAAAGAAAAAGAAAGAAAGAAAGGAAAAAAAAAAAAAAAGCCTGAATAAAATAGTTAAAAAAGATGAGGCTTCAACGCTTTCGGCTACTTGCAAATTGGTGTGTCTGATGGGGAATTTTACACAAGCAAGCCTTTGTGAGTGCGTCTTGGGCTCGGGAGGGACTGCTCCGGGTTGGCTGGGTGTGAATTTCAATTGCCCTTCCATAAATAAAACCCATCCCGAGCTATTTCCCAACTATTGCCAGGAGCAGGAGCCGCGGCTCTGGCGGGAGGAGCACACCACTCAAAATCCCTATCCATAAAAACAACCCGGTTGCCCGAGAAACCAGGCCGGCGCCTGCGACTGGGCGGCGCGAGCGAGCGCCCGGCGCGCGAGGCCCGCAAGTTTCCCGGCGCCCACAAGAGACCATGGGCGCCCGCGGCCACCCCCGTCCACGACCACCCGCGACCTCGAGCCCGGCGGAGAGTCGGGGTGCGCGCGCTTCGCGGGGCTTCCTTACTGCTCCCGGCTGGGCTCGGGAGCCAAAGCGCAAGTTTGTCCATGAATATGCGCTTCCGCGTGCATTTTATAGCGGACGTTCGGCTTTCCTGCACCTGCCGGCAAACGTGGACCGGGCCGGCCCCGACGCGCCCAGACAACTTAATTACCATCACTTTTACTGACGTCAGGTTTTAAGTGGCGTTTAATAGGATCCTGACACCAACTTGGCACCGGGCTCGGAAGGTGCCTTCTCGAGCCAGGAGCTGGGCCAACTACGTCCTGGTGGAAAGGACAAAAGTCAAGCAAGTTAGCCGGAGTTGGGGGACCCAGCTCCCCGTTCGGGTGTCTCCTTACTTTCCCTAATTGGGCTGGGGTGGGGGCAAGGCACTTTCCAAGCAAACTTGCAAAGACCTGTGAGGAGTGGTTTTCCGCGCAGCCTGGGCCCAGCTGAGTCATCGGTGCCTTTGCAGTTTGAGGCAGTAACGAGTTGAGCAGGTGGGACTCGAAGGATGGATAAGCCATGTACCTGTCGCCCGCGGCCCATAAATCTCTCTGAGGAGCCGAGGAAAAACTCAAAAGGCTTTTATTATGCGCAGTCCCCACGCTCTGAGCGCTTTGCAGGTAGCTGAGGTACCGAAGGAGTCTTGTTAATCACGCCGGAACACACGGATCCTTTTATGACGCTAACAGTCGTTTTCTAAGCAGTTAAGCATTAGATGAGAAAATATGACTGCATTGCATTGAAGAAAAGGCACACTAGTAAATAAAATTCCTATTGATGAGAATTCTCTGAACTCACTAATAAAAGAAGATTAGTATTATAACCCCCGCAGTCAATACTTTCTATGGCAATTTATGGGTGCAAATAATATGCCATCAAATTATTTCAAGTGTAGCTATAATTCAACGGACCTAAATCTTCTTGCTGGACTTTCAAGGTAGAATTATCGCCAAAATCATCCAAGGAAGCCCTGTCTCTCGGAGGGTAATCAGGCGACGGAGTCCCTAGAACAATATTTTTTTGCAGGAAAATAGCAAATTGAATGGCAAAGTGGCGTAGGTAAAACAGGTAACAGTTGCCACAGACTTGCCAGTGGCAGACTGCGAAGGGACCTGGCTGTAGCAACGCGAAGCTAGCAAGAAGTGGAACGTTTTTTACTTAATATTAAAAAAAAAAAAGGTGAGGCTGCTCCAGCCCGGGTAACTAGGTGGTAATCGGAGGGAATATTTATTATGCTCGTAAAGGCGCCAGCCTCTTGCCCTAGGCTTCGATTTTTTTTTTTCTTTTTCTTTTTCTTTTTCTTCTTTCGTGGAAGTGCAGAAAGAGGCCCGAGCTTGGAAACCCTGCAGACACGTCCTTCCCCGAGATCCCTACGGGAATTCCTGTTCCCCTCGCACCGCCGAAGCCACCTCCGGGTCTGGGCGTGAAGTCAGTGCGGCTTCCTAATGAATTCCTTTTCAAGCGCCTGCTGCCGCGGGAGCCCTCGATTCCTGCGGCCTGGAGTGGGGGTCGCGCCTGAGACGCCTTTGTCCGGGTACCGGGGGGGGGGGCGCAGAGGACGCGCCTGCCCGCTCCCCTCCAGGGCCTCCTGGGTGGGCTGTGGGGTCCCTGGCCAGGCTCCGGACTGAGCAGGTCTTCTGAGATTAAGATGTCCCTGGGGGGGGGGGGCCTTGGGGTTAGAGCAAAAGAAAGAGCGAGCGCGGAGAACTTCCAAGAAGCAGGTCGATAAATTCATAAAGATTGATTTGTTTTTATCTCCCAATTAAATGTGCTTGTAAGTGATACACCACACGCGGCCCCACGGGCCTACTCCTCAGCCGCGAGCCCCTGGGCGCCATCTGACTTCCAATGGCCGGTGGAACAATGCCCTGGTCTCCCGCTCGCCGGCCGGCGCTCGCGGCCGCTCCAGGCGGACGCCCAGCCGGGGAAGTGGGCGCCCAGGCCCCGGAGGCGCGTGGACGCCCGGCGCGCGCTGGCGCGCTGCGCAAGGTCGCTCCTCTCCAAACGATTCCGTCCTTAAAGGAAACGTAAGAGCCGAAAGTTTCTTGTTTTTATATGGGGGCGGGGAGAAGAGCACAACTGAGCCCCCCAAGAAACAATTTCCTTGCTCCCCAGTTCTGGGGTCTTTACCATTGCGGAGGCAGGGGCAGCCTCTGGGGGGCTCTCAGCTCCATGCGGCGGCTGGCAAAGGGGACCGCGCTGGGGCCCGGGCGGCGGCGCGGGGTGAGCCAGCTCTCCGTTCGCAACGTGCTTAATTAGCGCCTATTTACAAAGCGCAGCTTTTATTTGAGCAAACATCATAAAGCTTTCATCAGGATCATCTCGCGTTCTGCAGTCTGGGGGCACGGCGCCTCCCCCCCTGCTCCCCGAGGATAGAGCAGATAAAGGACCCGCTTTATTATCATAATTATCGTCGCTGTTCCTTTGGTGCGCGCTGGCAAAGTGCGTGCAGAGGTGCGATGATTAAGGATGTCATGAGAAATGAGACGAGGGCTCGCTCGCGGGCGGGCCTGCTCGGGATGGGGAGCCGGCGGCCTCCCCGCGCCTCCGGAGACCGCGCGGGGACGCTGCGTGCAGCTCGGCGGGTCCCGGCGCCCGGGGAA